TAGCACAGTGAAATACTGTATTGTATTGTGTCTTGTTGACTTACAAAAAGAAAAAACTGTTAGCAATTACCATAGTGTTAATGACAACATAAATCTAGAATTTGGCATTGACTTAGCATTCTGTCTGATGAAGAAAAATTGTTTTTTTGATTAATAAATTAAAGCTTTCAGTCCTAAGTATATGAGCACATCTCAGAAAATGCTGGCTAAAATAATATATAAAATTGCACAATGGTTTCACTAATTAATTCTATATTATTACCGTATACAACAGGAATGAAAACTGTGTGGCAATCCAAAAGTTGTTGAGCTACATGTAGCATTTCTTGCCATTAGTATGATGGCTAAGACTGCTGGGAGCTGCAGCTCAACAAAATCTGAAGAGCCATACAGTTCCTTCTATCCCTCCTACAGATAATATCCATACCAGAAGTGACATTTTCCAGAAGGGAATCTGAGAAAAGATTAGATAGCAGTATCAAAAGAATTGTCAGCTTTTTCTTCAGTTTTAATTCTCATTCAAATCTTCAAGAACTGACACCGTAGGTTTTTTTTACACATATATCTCCTTGGTTCTCCTTGTGGAGAGAAAAAGTGGGATATAAATAGACATAATAAATAGTAATATCTGTAACATGGACCTACAACTGATCACTATGATAAAGGGCAGGAAAAGAGACAAAGGAACATGTTTACAAAAGCTATTCAGGCCACAAAAGGCAGTAGATTACAGGAGCTGTTTTCATAGACCTGTCGGCAGCACATGATACTGTAAATCATTGCCTTCTCCTGAGAAAAAAAAATATAATATCACAAAGGATTACCATCTCACCCACTTCATAGGAAATCTGGTACAAAAAAGGAGTTGTTGAGTTCCAGGATAAGGGAAGCAGATGGCGAAAACAGAAGAACTGCCTGCCTCAGGGGAGCGTGCTTGCTACATCAATATTTAATGTTTACACAAATTATCAGCCACTACCAGTAGGAAGAGTTTCATCTATGCTGACGATCATGCCATCACCACCCAAGCAGGGAACTTTGAAATGGTTGAATAGAAACTCCCTGAAGCTTTAGGTGCTCTTACTGTCTATTAAAGGGAAAACCAGCCAAATCCTAATCCATCTAAAATGAAGACCTGTGCTTTTCATCTTAAGAACAGACAAGCATCTCGAGCTCTGAGGATTACCTGGGAAGGAATCCCACTGCAACATTGAAGAACTAAAAATATCTTGGAGTTACTCTGGACTGCGTTCTGACTTATAAGAAGCTCTTCTCGAATATCAAGCAAAAATATCATATGAAAGCTTACTGGCACAACTTGGGGATCACAACCAGACACGTTGAAGACATCTGCCCTTTTGCTTTGCTACTCTGCTGCTGAGTACACATGCCCAGTGCGGAATACATCTGACCACATTAAAACAATGGATGTGGCTCTTAATGAGACATGTTATATTATCACAGGATGTCTATGCCCAAAACCGCTGGAGAAATTATATTGTTTAGCCGGTATTGTACCACCTGACATCCATCAGGAAGTAGCAGCCAGTAATGAAAGGACCAAGGCATTGACATCTCTGACCCATCCTCTGTTCGGATATCAGCCAGAAAGCCAATTCTTTAAATCAAGAAATAGCTTCCTACGATCTAGAGATATGGGCAACCTGGATGGTGATGAACCATCCAGACACCACAAGATGCAGTGCTATCCTTAAGAAATGGGGCTACAAAGTGGAGCCCATGATATGCGAGTGCAGAGAAGAGCAAACCACATATCACTTACTACAATGCAACCTGAGCCCTGTCACTTGCACAATGCAGGACCTTCTCGCAGCCACAACAGAGGCACTTCAAGTGGCTAGCGTCTGGTCAAAGGACATTCAGCATAATGCCAAGTTTTTAACTTTGTTTGTGTTTTTAAATGAGTCGCCGATAGGCTGAGAAAGGCAGTATACAAGTGTAGTAAATAAATAAATAAATACATTATAACTGTATCGATTCACTTCTGACATGATAGAGGCACATTCAGCCCTCCCCCCCCCCCCAATCATTCACAAGGCATAATTTAGACATTTTTTGTCATTTTCCGTGCCCCCTAAGCACAAAGAATGGATTTTCTCCCTCAAACCAGAAATGGAAGCACGTTGTCTATCTTCAATACCTCGGATCCTGACTGGCAAAAGCACTTCATGACATCAGAAGAGAACCCAGGATACTATACTGCAGTGTTATGCCCAAGTAATGTCAGTATAGGACAATCCCCTTATCCATAGACTAGATATGGCATACTTCTGATGCAAATTATCAAGAGTATGCCATATCTAGTTGGCTATTTTCCATAATTTCAGGGGATCTTGGAACATATCCCTTGGCAGGCTATATTGTATTCTTCCGTATGTATTCCACTATGCAAACTCTGATTCTTCTGCTGCTGATTTTTTTAAATAAAAAAACCCCAGAACAATGCCCTCCATCATGAAATACATACACCGGGATTGTGTCTATAGATCTGGATGGGATGAGACAGAAGTCAGGACTTGGTTGTATGTGCACATGAAGATGGTGTATGCATGACAGAACAGAGGCTATGTGTACACGTCCACCACTCAACTATTAGAGTTCCAATTTGAATCACTTTAATTCTCAAGTCTACATTTTTATGGGAATGAAAACATCATAGTACTCAAAATATCAACTGTTATATTTTGCAAATGGAAAGAAAATGTCTTTGTTCTGCCCTTAAAAAAGAAAGTACTGCAGAATACAGGAAGAAAACATTTTTTTAACTAAGTTGCTTACCCTTCACTTCAGATTCCTATCTTCCATGTAGTGTCAAAAGAAAGCATGTTTAGACATTTCTAGTTTATATTTAAGTAAACATTTTCTTGAAGCCAAAACTTCCCAAGTGGTTTCCTAGAATAGTGCAGAAGGCTAATGCCAAAAATTTAAATGTTTAGTCAAGCCAGAAATATAAACATTGGGGCACAGAAACTAAAATAACAGGAAACATCATAAAAATGCACCCAGAAAACCTCGTAAAGCAATTCTTGGAAATGTCAGGTTACCCAAATGGAAAAACTTGGACTTCTCTTAGGAGTCACATATTAAGTCAACCATAAGAGAATGGATCTCATTTCCTCCTTACTTTAGGTTACTGAAATCCATGATCTTTGCTTTTTCAGCTATTTACTGCTTACCTTTCTAAGATTAGTACATCTTAGTTCACAAATGATAGAACAGCCCAACTTTGTTCCAACAAATGAGAGGCATGTGTTAAGAGTGCTATCTAGTGGACACAAGAACATTCACATAACCTCACTTGTGAGGATAAGGTGTCCAGAAATGATAGAACAGCCCAACTTTGTCCCAATTTTTCCATTACTATTTAAGAAACTCCAAAAACGAACATAGACAGTATCTTAAAAACTGAGCAATAGGGAAGGAAAACATGGAAACCTGAAAACTAAATGTTCCAGACTTGAAAAGGAGTCTACGCACTCTGAGTGATCAACAAGTTTCCTAGAAGCTGTCCAATTGGATTTGGTTCTCCACTAGGATTGATAGTGAGGTGATTACTATCCAAAAACAGAAATTAGAAAGGTAAACAATTGTATATCTTTTCTATTGTTATAGGTAGAAACTTTTGGTTTCCTAACAAGTAATAAAGAGTATGAGTAGCCACCAGACAATGAAACATGTTTTTATCATCTCTATTGTTTAGCGTAGAGCAATTTTATTAAATCTGAAATAGGGAAAAAAATTGTCAGAATTGAATTGTTCTTAAATTCCTTGACTGAGAAAACCACTTCTGAAACTGAGATGTTCCAAACTCTACTGTGATATAGTACAGGTTTTTTTTCATGTCAGGAGTGACTTGAGAAATTACAAGTCGCTTCTGGTGTGAGAAAATGGGCTGTCTACAAGGACGTTGTTATACACAGCGACCAAGGGCAAGATGGATGGACGGCATCCTTGAAGTGACTGGACTGACCTTGAAGGAGCTGGGGGTGGTGACGGCCGACAGGGAGCTCTGGCGTGGGCTGGTCCATGAGGTCACGAAGTCGGAGACGACTGAACGAATGAACAACAACAAGGACGTTGCCCAGGGGACAACCAGATGTTTTACCTGTGGGAGGCTTCTCTCTTGTCCTTGCATCAAAAGCTGGAGCTGACAAACAGGAGTTCACCCTGCTCCCTGGATTCGAACCACTAACCTTTCAGTCAGCAGTTCTGCAAGCACAAGGGTTTAACCCATTGTGCCACCGGGAACTCCATATAGTAGTTGTTTGTATGTTGTTTTTCTGGGGGAGAAGGAATCTTCTTGTGGAATTTCTTCATAGGCTTCAAAGTGCTTAAAATAGCTCTTTTGATTTTGAGCAATATTTTGAGGGTAACCTTTTATGCAAATTGTATATTTCACCAAGTTTGCACCATTGCTATGGCTTTCTTGTTGACTGATTTACAGAGACACTATCCTAAGATTTTCTTGATGAAATTCATAGGACTGTTCCCATTATTTTTCTCTTCAGGCTGAAAACATATTTTGCCCAAGATCACCCAGTGGGCTTGTATGGCTAAGCAGGGATTCATTCCTTGGTTTCCCAGAGTCCAAATTCAACACCCAAATCACTGAATCATGCTGGGTCTCATGCAGAGAAATATCTTGCATATAGGGGCAAAAATAACGACCCTAATGTCATCAAGAAAAAAAATCTGTGTCTATTATTAACACTCACATTAACAATGTTTTTTCAATACAAATAAAAACTCAAAATGCCATATAAACATAAGGCTGTTCTTGAGAAGACAATGATTACATCCAATGGTAAATGTGTAGAGCTTCTCTGGAGGTTGTGGTAGCTACAGGCATTTTGAATAGGCCACTAAAAAGATCTAATCACTCTACTGTGGGATGGACATGGCACTGTGTAGCTGTACAAACACACACACAAGGTTTAAATGAAATAAGATAACCGAAAACACATGAAGGAAACAGATACTTCTGTTAACATTAATTTTTATAAAATACTTTACAAGAACAGATAAAAGTAAATTGAGGTTACATAATCTTCAGAATTGAAAAAGAATGCTGAATAAAATATAAATTGATCACATCACTATGTCTGCCACATTAGACAAGTTTATAAAAGGCATTTTCAGATAAAATAGTTTTTTAAGAAGATACACCTTCAATAACAAAACAAAAAAACCTATTGCAGTCCGCTCAAGAAACCAGTCCTAGAAGCTCTATCTTCCAGGTCAACAGGCAGTACCTGATTTAAAACATTTGTCTGCTTCCAAATTTGTCAAGCTTTAAGACACAAATTAAAACATTTTCCAGGTCAGTGCAAAGTAAAGCTTCAAGCCGGAATATGAGAAACAAATATAAACAACAGAAGAATGCTGGTACAAAATAAATTCACATTATGAATCATTGGACAAACATTTATGATACTACAACACTGGCATCAGACTAGCGGCTATTTAAGGGCATAGATTCAGGCCACAGAAATGGCAGCTCATTTATTTTAACAAACACCAGACATTTTTCACACTGTTGGAAGGTATCTTTGTTATTGATATGTTCCACCATCTGCTTCACCAGTTCTGGAATAGTTTCACACTAATGAAGGCAAAATAGGAGTTGATAATATGCTGAAATCTTTGAAATTCTCAAGAATTGTGGGGCTGGAAACATAATCATAGCTCAAAACTAGTAAGAAAGTAAGTATTCCACCAAAATGCTTCATTTGAAAAATATGTTATCACAGTACTGTTCACTTTAATTCAATGGGTGAACGAACATACAAGCCCTTGTGGAAATGTAGACACTACGTAGAAAATAAGATTATTGTCATTGATTTTTAAGGCTGCAAATTTGTGTGCATTAAGTGATCCTTGAAAGGACGTTTAATTATACTTCGTTTTTTTTATAAAATGTCTCTGAGGACCATTCCATTGGATAACCTTAAAAACAGTGGAAATTTTGTGTGAACATGCTTCACTGCAATATGAAGCCCTTGCAACCTGTTCAATGATCCTGGATTCATCTTAAGACACAGACTGGATGTATCATGATGGTATTGACATAAACAGGTTGTGCATCCTTCCTCTGAAATGCTTGGGATCAAAAGTGTTACAGATTTCAGAATATTTGCACATACATAACAGATATCTGGCTATGTATACCACCCACCATTACAAAGATCTTCATGTCTTGATTGTTTGCTACTTGTGATGTGTATGAGACACGAAGCTGGAGCCTGAGAAAGTAAGATATAATATTTGGAGAGGATTTTTTGCAGTACTGTACTGGATATCTTATGGGAGCCAACTATCTACTTGTATCCCCATTGCAAATGAACAAGGCAAGTGTGTTGCTACTACCTCAAAGGCGGAAACGGGTGGCTGGCAGCAAATTATTTCAGATTAGGGATGCTCAACCTGTACTAGCATAGCATTTTCACAGGCCTGTATCTTCTGAAAATTGTCTAAACCTATCCTAATAACCCAAAATAATATATAAGTTCTCAGTTTGTGCCATTCATGAAAATTGAACTGGTGCTTTTCCTAAATGCCTTTATTTATATTAAAAAAGGGGAAAAAAACAATTATTTTCCTTCAATGCAACTGGATATTCTATTCTATTGGGAGTACCTTTAACACCATAAATAATGTTAACAGGTGGAGGAATTTAATTGAAGTGTTAATTTAAAAAGCTACAGGCTCTAATGTAGAAGAACGTTAATTAGGTTTTTATATGAAAGAGAGGTTTAAAACTGAACTCTTTAAAAGGTCTCCTGGATTTAATATTGATATGAGCCTTCACGAGAACATGATAGTTAATTGCTATTGCTCAACATTACTCTCTCAATCAACTGTACATGGGCAGGTAAATTGTGGCCTATAGGCCAGATATGGCGCTCAAGGGCTGTTTCTCTTTTGGTGAATTTGGTGTGTAGAGGGGATGATTTCCAGTGTGTCTGGAGGCCTCCTAGTCCACTTAGGGGTAAAACAAACTCTTATTTTTTAAAAAAATGTCCTTAAAAACATACTTTATTGTATAGGGTTTGACAGCATTCGGGTAGTTTTGTGACATATATCTTAGCCTGTCCAGTGAAATGTTCAAACTCAAAATCTCAACAAGACAGAATACAGCAAGTGAGTATTCTGCACAGCAGTGTCATGAATAGTGTTTGCAGATACTAAAAGGAACCAAAAAAAAAAAAAGGGGGGGGGAGCCTTTGAGTACACACACTTGGGTATTCAGCACACTGTCAACATCAGGTCTGCAATTTCAGCAAGGAGGTATGAAAGAAAATCAGGAATTTGGTTTGGACCTGGGGGAGTATACATAGAATTAATCTGGAATTTAATCAGAACAATGTATTTAAGAAGTTGGGATTCTTGATTTAGCTTGTGCTTCAGAAAGTGACAGTATAATCTGCTCGTATGAATTTCAGGCAACAAGATATGTTATCTCCAAGAATGCAGATAGATGCTATACGTTGATCTGGGCATTGGATATACAGGTACGAATGTGAATTTATGAGAAGCTTTGCAAAAATATTGCTGCGATAGCCTTAGAGCTCAACAATGGAAAGATTGAAAGCTCCTCTGTTAAAATGAACTTGTCCCCTAAAGTGGTGATGAATCAGAGGATAACCATCCACACAGGAAATTAACTGCATTTCGCTTTTCAGAAGACAGGAGTATAATTTACCTGATCACTGCTAATATAATTCAGAATGATGGATCTATTTGTCATGCCTCATGATATTGAAGGTGTGAACAACATAGGGACCTTTCAAGTTCATTATGGAATCAAAGGCTAATTTTAAAACACATACAGCTGTATTTTTAACAGAAGCTCCAGAAATGATTTACATTTTGGGATATTATTATGCAATTTAACACTATGAATGTTAATTTTCTTACTGAAGCCATCTAGATGTTAAATCTTATCAGCCACACATCAAAGAAAAGATACTGAACATTGCGGTCAAAATGCCTTTTTAAAAGATGGATCAAAGACAAAACAATGCAATGTACATTTACTTCATTTTCTAAATAGCAAAGATTTACTGGAGGGGGGTGGAATCAGCAATGAAGGCCACATTTTCTTGCATTTGCAAGATGCTGTAATTTTTTTAAAAAATCAAAGACTTCTGAAAAATCAAAATGGAGTGTATACACGGAGGAAGAAATAACTGACTTATTTGATGGGACAATCTACTACAAAAACAGTAAGAAGTGCCAGAAAAACATGAACAAGAACACAGGAGGACTATCAGCTTGGAAATGGTCACTCGCCACCTTGTAAACATGAAAAAAGCATTTCACAGATTAAAAGCTCATGGCAAGTAAACTTTAAATTATTTGTCAGTTCAACCCTGATTCATAAGTATGGCTAGCAAAAATACATAAAATTCAATCCACTTATATCTTGGACTGAGCAGCTATCTTACTCTTGAAAAAAAATTCTGCTGCATCTCAGCTCTTCAAAGACGCCTAGAGAAGAACATCGTTTTCGAACTTCAACTTCACACTTCCACATTACTTCTCATATTCACATGCCCACGTTTGGAGACTTGGCGGGACATAATGTTTTCCATACTGCTATAGGTTCAAACGCTGGGAAATTGCTGGAGGAAAACAAGCAAACTCTCTCAGGATGCTCCGTGCTACATCAAGATTATTTTGGGCAATTTCAAGTGCCCGCTTCACTTCTTCAAATGAATAGCCTTCTCCCATAAGTTTTGCAATTTTTGCATCAACACTTTCTATAGATGAGTCAGAATGATGTGCCTTCCTATGGTGTATTTCTGGGGCAGTCCTGCGAGGAAGAGGTTTAGGAGGTCTGGCTGGTGCTTGTGAACCATCTGGAGAAAAATAAATATAAATATTCCCATTATTTCAATACAAATATTTTCTTTAAAATGTTTTACAGTATGATTAGCTTCATGTGTCAGAATGGCAATTTTAATGTATGATATTCCACTTGTCTCCCTTTATAGGATTTAAGGTCACCTCTGTGCCTATTAGCTATGTCCTAATCCATAGGAACAGAGAGACAGGTGGATAACTCAATTTTTTTCGGTTCCAATCTTATGTATTTAGTAAGTTATGAGATGCATGGTGTTATCTATTGTTGTGTTAATATTGTATATTATGCTCTTGTGGTTTTATATTGTATATCGTTGTTGATTTTTATTCTTGTTGTAAACCGCGTTGAGTCGCCTGTTAGGCTGAGAAACTGCGGTATACAAGTAAAGTAAATAAAATAAATAAATAAATAAATAAGTGTATACAGTCTGCATTTTTAAAAAGAGATGTATGGAAAACCAAATTTATCTTGGATGTAAGACTTATCTGACGGAAGACTGTGCTTTAATTTAAATATTACTTAGGAAGATGTAAATAACATCAGTTTGAAAATACAGACTGCATGAAACCATATAAAATTACGCTCTTTTTCAATAGAAAAATCAAACAAATATTTATAAAAAGTATGGAAATCAATAAGCCTAAAGAGTGTTTTAACTCCTGTAAAGTCCCTATATACAATTATGATAAGACTTATAAGTGCTTTCCTGAAGATTCTTTTAAAAATGTATAATGCTTTGTTGTAAAGCAACAATTAAGGTGATGGAGGGCTGCAATGTTTAGGAAAAGAGCAGTAACTGGCACAACTTAACAGACCTTTTTGGTAAATTTATATCAGGCAAGTAAATATATATCAAAATAGTGGACTACTATGTTCTTGTGGGTTTTTTCGGGCTATAGAGCCATGTTCTAGAGGCATTTCTCCTGACGTTTCGCCTGCATCTATGGCAAGCATCCTCAGAGGTAGAGAGGTCTGTTGGAATTAGGACAATGGGTTTATATATCTGTGGAATGGCTGGGGTGGGGCAAAGAGCTCTTCTCTGCTGGAGCTAGGTGTGAATGTTTAGCTGATCACCTTCATTAGCATTTGAAGGCCTGCCTGAGCCTGGGAAAATCTGTTGCTGGGAGGTGTTAATCTGTGCCTGGTTTTTTCCTCGCTGTTGTTTAGCTGTTATAATTTTAGAGTTTTTTAATACTGGTAGCCAGATTTTGTTCATTTTCATGGTCTCTTCCTTTCTGTTGAAATTGTCCACATGCTTGTGGATTTCAATGGCTTCTCTGTGTAGTCTGACACGGTGGTTGTTGGTGTGGTCCAGCATTTCTGTGTTCTCAAATAATATGCTGTGTCCAGGCTGGTTCATCAGGTGCTCTGCTATGGCTGACTTCTCTGGTTGAAGTAGTCTGCAGTGCCTTTCATGTTCCTTGATGCGTGTTTGGGCGCTGCGTTTGGTGGTCCCTATGTAGACTTGTCCACAGCTGCATGGTATACGGTAGACTCCTGCAGAGGTGAGAGGATCCCTCTTGTCCTTTGCTGAACGTAGCATTTGTTGGATTTTCTTGGTGGGTTTGTAGATTGTTTGTATGTTGTTTTTCCTCATCAGCTTCCCTATGCGGTCAGTGGTTCCCTTGATGTATGGCAGGAACACTTTTCCTCTGGGTGGATCTTCATCTTTACTCTCGTGGCTTGTTCTTGGTCTTGCAGCTCTTCTGATGTCTGAGGTGGAGTATCCATTGGCCTGGAGAGCCCAGTTGAGGTGGTTCAGTTCATCTTGGAGGAGGTGGGGTTCGCAGATTCTTTTTGCACGGTCTGCCAAAGCTTTGATGGTGCTTCTTTTTTGACTTGGGTGATGGTTGGAGTTTTTATGTAGATATCTATCTGTGTGTGTGGGTTTTCTGTAGACGGTGTGACCCAATTGTTGATCTGGTTTGCGGATGACTAGGACATCTAGAAAAGGCAGTCTTCCTTCATTTTCTTTTTCCATGGTGAACTGGATGTTTGGGTGGATGCTGTTAAGATGGTCCAGGAACCTGTTGAGTTCTTCATCTCCATGGCTCCAAATGGTGAAGGTGTCATCCACATATCTGAACCATATCGTGGGCTTTTTGGTTGCTGTCTCCAGGGCTTGTTCTTCAAAGTGTTCCATGTAGAAGTTAGCTATGACCGGGCTGAGAGGGCTCCCCATAGCTACTCCATCTTTCTGTTCGTAGAATTCATTGTCCCACTGAAAGTAACTGGTGGTGAGGCAATGGTGAAACAGAGCCGTGATGTCTTCTGGGAACCTCTGGTTGATGAGTGCCATGGTGTCTGCTACCGGGACCATGGTAAATAGAGATACCACATCGAAGCTGATCAGTTTGTCGTTTGTATTTAGCTTGAGATTGCTGATTTTTTTCTATGAAGTGGGCTGAGTCCTTGATGTAGTGTGTAGTGAGCCCAATATGGCTTTGTAACTGTGCAGCAAGAAATTTTGCTAGGTCGTATGTGGGGGATCCAATGGCACTCACGGAGGTGAGTGCCATTGGATCCCCCACATACGACCTAGCAAAATTTCTTGCTGCACAGTTACAAAGCCATATTGGGCTCACTACACACTACATCAAGGACTCAGCCCACTTCATAGAAAAATCAGCAATCTCAAGCTAAATACAAATGACAAACTGATCAGCTTCGATGTGGTATCTCTATTTACCATGGTCCCGGTAGCAGACACCATGGCACTCATCAACCAGAGGTTCCCAGAAGACATCACGGCTCTGTTTCACCATTGCCTCACCACCAGCTACTTTCAGTGGGACAATGAATTCTATGAACAGAAAGATGGAGTAGCTATGGGGAGCCCTCTCAGCCCAGTCATAGCTAACTTCTACATGGAACACTTTGAAAAACAAGCCCTGGAAACAGCAACCAAAAAGCCCACGATATGGTTCAGATATGTGGATGACACCTTCACCATTTGGAGCCATGGAGATGAAGAACTCAACAGGTTCCTGGACCATCTTAACAGCATCCACCCAAACATCCAGTTCACCATGGAAAAATAAAATGAAGGAAGACTGCCTTTTCTAGATGTCCTAGTCATCCGCAAACCAGATCAACAATTGGGTCACACCGTCTACAGAAACACACACACAGATAGATATCTACATAAAAACTCCAACCATCACCCAAGTCAAAAAAGAAGCACCATTAAAGCCTTGGCAGACCGTGCAAAAAGAATCTGCGAACCCCACCTCCTCCAAGATGAACTGAACCACCTCAACTGGGCTCTCCAGGCCAATGGATATTCCACCTCAGACATCAGAAGAGCTGCAAGACCAAGAACAAGCCACGAGAGTAAAGATGAAGATCCACCCAGAGGAAAAGTGTTCCTGCCATACATCAAGGGAACCACTGACCGCATAGGGAAGGTGATGAGGAAACACAACATACAAACCACCCCTGCCATACATCAAGGGAACCACTGACCGCATAGGGAAGCTGATGAGGCAACACAACATACAAACTATCTACAGACCCACCAAGAAAATCCAACAAACACTACATTCAGAAAAGGACAAGAGGGATCCTCTCACCTCTGCAGGAGTCTACCGTGTACCATGCAGCTGTGGACAAGTCTACATAGGGAGCACCAAACGCAGCGCCCAAACACGAATCAAGGAACATGAAAGGCACTGCAGACTACTTCAACCAGAGAAGTCAGCCATAGCAGAGCACCTGATGAACCAGCCTGGACACAGCATATTATTTGAGAACACAGAAATGCTGGACCACACCAACAACCACCATGTCAGACTACACAGAGAAGCCATTGAAATCCACAAGCATGTGGACAATTTCAACAGAAAGGAAGAAACCATGAAAATGAACAAAATCTTGCTACCAGTATTAAAAAACTCTAAAATTACAATAGCAAAACAGCAGAGGGGAAACAAAGAGGAAACAACCAGGCACAGATTAACACCTCCCAGCAACAGATTTTCCCAGGTTCAGGCAGGCCTTCAAATGCTAATGAAGGTGATCAGCTAAACATTCACACCTAACTGCAGTAGGGAAGAGCTCCTTGCCCCACCCCAGCCATTCCACAGATATATAAACCCATTGTCCTAATTCCAACAGACCTCTACCTCTGAGGATGCTTGCCATAGATGCAGGCGAAACGTCAGGAGAAATTCCTCTAGAACATGGCTCTATAGCCCGAAAAAACCCACAAGAACCTAGTGATTCCAACCATGAAAGCCTTCGACAATACAGTGGACTACTATCTTTTTAATGAAATGACATAATTACTTAAGACTCTCAAATGATCACCAGGACAAATGAAATGGCATCAAGATCTACTGGAAGGTCTCTGGGTAGGAATATTTTTTTCTGAATCCCAACTGTGTAATGACAGAAACAACAAAAATGTCCTATACTGTCCAATCATAATGCTGAAAGAAAGTTTGTAGTAACCACAATTAGTGCTTTTATAAATACAAATTATCACTGTGCAGCAAAACTAAAATATATGTTTGAATTTTTAAAAAATATTTGTAATTTCTCTTTGAAATCCAGATATTATTAATATATTCTTTTTCTAATATGATGCAATATGGGTATCAGGAGCAACAAAACCACACACTTTTCATTGTGCATATTGGGGGTTCCTTACCTGAACAAGAGGGAAGCTGGTCATAGTCTTGGGATAATCGGTGAGTTTTCATACTGTCACCAGTTAATCTTCGAACAGGTGGCAATGGAACTAAGCCATTTACAGGATCAAAGAAAAGATCTATAAAAATAAAGAAAATAGCTTTCTGTAGATTTTTGTTCCAAAAAATTAAAGATCAGAAGGGAATACAAATTACATGAACACCGGACTAATAAATCCCCATTTAACTCAAAGGTACCGTGGGTTTCTGCAGATCAAACACTCTTTAATGGTTTACCAGATCAGCAAACTATAGTTAATGCAGGGCTAAGATTTACTCCTCCACACAGCTTTTCACATCAGTCTGAATCCACTGGTTCAAATGAAGGCCCAGGTATCAATTTTTACCTCCAACTACTAAGGTGAAATATGTGTTCTCAAAAGATGCAACATACCTTTCTCTATTTTGCAGTTTGCGTACATGCATTCTTTACAGATATTGTTCTCCATCAGATAGGCTGCTTTTAAAGCAATAATAAATAGAAAGTATTGTTGCCTATCTGTAAGCTGCCTCGAGTCCCCTTCGGGGTCGAGAAAGGTGGAATACAAATACAGTAAATCAATCTATATCTATATATATAATAAAGAAGAGTGTTTGTATCGGACAGAGGAATTGTGGAGGGCGGTGTATGTGGCAGCGTTCTGATTGGCTGCCGCTGTGGTGCTATTTGCATATGGTCTCTGATTGGCCAGCTTCAATAGGAGCCCCTGGTGGAGAAGAGGGTTCATGGCAGAAACGGGGCATGACAGAAGGAAATTTGCATATGGTCTCTGATTGGCCAGCCTCAAATCCAACATTCCGAGATGACAAAGAGAGGAAAGGAAAGGCCGGGGGCTGGGTCAGAACACTACCAATACAGACCGAAATAGGCAGACAGAGCCCCCATCACCCACTCTACATGCTACTGCAGTGTGGAGGAGTATGAACCATGGATGATGGGACTTGCAGTACCACCACTCACATTCTGAGACCGCTGTTAACCTTATCCAATGACTGATCAGGACCAAACTTGGCACATAGACCTCTCATGACCCACTTTACGTCCTGGTGTGGTTTGGCCGGGGATGGACCATGGATTATGGGACTTGCAGTACCATTGCTCAATTCTTCAGACCACTGCAACCCTCATCCAATTACCATAAAATACCAAACTTGGCACACTGAGTCTCCATGACGCACTCTACATCCAGGTGCAGTTTGAAGGAGGATGCACCATGGACGATGGGACTTGCAATACCTGCACTCCCTTCCTAAGACCATTACAACTGCCAACGATGATGGATCAGGACCACAATTTACACAGAGACCCAGCATGACCCACTCTACATCCTGGTGCGGTTTGGAAGAATTTGACAATGGATGATGGGACTTGCAGTCACTTCACTCACTTCCTGAGACCACTGAGACCCTCGCCAATGACTCATCAAGACTAAACTTGGCACATGGAGCTTCAATGACCCACTCTACATCCTGGAGCAGTTTGGAGGACGACAGACCATGGATGATGGGACTTCAAGTACCTCCACTACCCAAGACTGCTGCAAAACTCATCTAATGACCAATCAAGACCAAAGTTGGCACACAGAGCCCCCATGACCCCCTCTACATCCTGCTGCAGTTTTGGAGAAGGGTGGACCATGGATGATGGAACTTCCAGTACCTTCACTCACATTCTGAGAC